AAGAACTCCAGTGTCGAAGGAGTTTCCATAATACCCTCCTATCTACACTGTCGAACACCTTCTCATAATCAATGAAATTGATGTATAGTGATGAGTTCCACTAAACTGATTGTTCAGAAATAGTCCGTAGTGTGGCGATTAGGTGTGTGCGCGACCGAACCTTACGGAATTCGGTCCATTGATTTCGAAGATAGTTATCTATTGAATCTTTCAACCGGTTCAGCAACAATCTGTTGAAAAACTTTCCTGGTAAAGATAGTGGTGTGATGCCTGTATAGTTCTCACACTTGCCCAGATCTCGTTTTCTTTGGTATCTCGATGAGGCGTCCTTCTTCCCAGTCTATCGGCACTTGTTGCTCCCATAAAATCTTCCTGAATAGAACATGGAGCACCTTCGCAGTTACTTCTAAGTCTGACTTCAATTGTTATGTCGTCAGGTTCTGCTGCTTTTTTATTCCTAATGAAATTAAAGAAGACCAGGAGTTTTGCAGCTTAGTTTATTTGGTAAGGTGAGATCAATCACTGAGTCAATTGATTGCTTTCCCACACAGCTCTTTCAGTATATTGCGTCATATTACCTATTAGTAGTAAGTAGTTCAACTATATTTGTTTATTTCTGAAACCACTGGGACCGAGGATTCTTGAGTCCGGTCCAATTTTAAAGAATTATTGCATGGGGTATATGAAGAATGTTGAATTTTGTAATTTTCATCACAGACTGATATTGGTTGTATACTTAAAGAAAACCAGGAAGCACTTAGATGTTTTGTCCCATTATGCAATGAAGTAGTCGTTCAGTGCTTTGCGGTTTTCAATAGTTGCCTTGTTGTGGATGCATACACACCTACGTGATTCTGTTCTGATTCTAAACGATGAGTCAATTCATGAGATAAGTTGTTGTAATGTTATACTTCTTAACAACAGTTGTGAACTACTCATGCGGCTTTTTGTGCATAAGACAGTTTATCACTGACCTTATTCAGCGTTGATTTAAGTTATATAGAACTCATTTAAAAACTCATATCTAAAAGTGTAATTATAGTCAACCTCATTGTTCCACTTATACACTTAACGTCAATTGCTGGTCTGCTGATTTGAATGGGTAGTAGATCTGCTGCATTCATCGCTGTATTTATCTAGGCTATCTACGACCTTGTTGAGAAATTCTCTCATTACAACTATACTACTTATTAGTAGGTAGAATTTATTCTCTTGTATTTCAAGAGTTAATAATAAACGAATTGTTTTCGTAATAGTTGATTAAATTTTTCTCCATCCACCATGTATGCCTTGAGATTAAACTGCTGTTGCTCATTTCGCTACACTAAATGTGCGTTCATCATAAAAGAATCATTGTTTGTCATAGAACGACTTGGTTTCATATTCATTCACATATAAATATTCCAAGAAGTTATGACAGTTTTTCGATTAATTCGATCTCGGATGAGTTGTTCCGATAAGTCTAACAGTTACCCAATACACATCAGGAACGAACTTAAAACTAAATGCCAAAATTATCATTGGGATTGATTTAAGAGAACCTGAACACAGACCATCAATAGAATATTTATGAAAAGCAGTTAAAAGTGGAACTAGCCAGGCTAAGAACAGGAGAGAGTGAAAAACGGATTAGACTAGAGACCTTCAATTAAGAAAAGATTTATGAATTTCACGGGAATGTGTAATCACGAGGCTTAACGAGCCTACATCAAATGCATAAACATGTTATTCTGAACATCATTCAGAGTTGCCTAATCCATAAGTTTAATGGTAGTCATAAAGGCATTAAATATTTATGCAGGAATACCAGAAAATCTTTCAACAAATCTAATTCTGTACAAGAAATATCAAGAAGTTCATAATACATTGTATACTTATGGATGGATATGAAAGCTTAACGTTATCCAACGGTATATTTAAGAAACGTTTTGAATAGAGTTATCTAGCTTCTTGATCGTGCATCACGGAAATAGATAGGTTATCAATTAGAAACGACGATTTCACAGATCTGTTGGATCTCGGACAGAAAATCCAAGTTTATGAAATCATATTAAAGCAGTTTGGCTATAAATCTGGTTTGAACGCACAATTATCCTCAAATTCTTATTTTGACTAGACAAAGATAGCTGTACAATATACAAGGTAGGGAACAAACCTTCGAACATCTAGTTAGTTTTGTGGGAGAAAGTGTAGACATTGCATATATGAGGTATGGCGAACTAATGAAAGGCTTGAATTCTGAAAAACAAGTTAGACACATTACGCTACAACCGTTATCGTCATCATCCAATATCTTAGCTTTAGGCGACAATGTAGTGGGAACCATTTCTCTGACTAGTGTTCAAAAATGCTCAATAAATTCGACTGAAGATATGTTACGCCGCTTGTGTTTAATAAAAGCCAACCATGTGGCTTGAAGTTGTAGACTTCAAAGTGGGTCCATTATTGAAGGATAAGGATGTTTTCACATATTATCAGTGATGATTCTCAGCCTTATATTGATATAAGAAATAACCACAACTCAAGACCTCGACTAACAAAGAAAAACTAAACGGAGACTATCTAAGAGTAGTGCCAGTAATTCTTTTTTTCAGTAATCGAACAGTAGAGACGTCAGCCATCCTCTACAACAGCTCCGGCACAACTCTCGTTTTACGAAAGCAGTAAACGAATTGTTTCCTGTCGAAGAAGCCTGCATTTGACTCGCTCTCATGGACTATGATAGTAAATTACGGACCATGCCCGTACGACTATATGGAAGAGGACAGACATCTGTGTGTAAGACGGGCATGCACACGGCCAACTGGACTGACTGTAAGATATGAAATACCCCATGTCAAACAACTCCAGTTCTGGAGTCATTCAAAGGATGTGCTGTTGAAGAGATGTAAAAGCAAACGAGTCGGATTCTTGATAAACTGCAATGTTCCCAAAGTGCGCAAAGTTCGTAGCTCATATCTATTGCATGACGATCCAAATTTTGTTATCTGGTCTATAAAGGAAGATAACGGTGACGAAACCTATAAATTTTGATTTTGACTTGATATGGGGTATTATTTAACAGTATTAAATCGAGTTTAAACATTATTCAATGCCATTTGGCTTACTGGTCGTTAGTTGAAAATCTCCTACCAATTATACAAGATCCAAAGCGGTCACTTTCCTTCACAAGTACACTTAAGTGTGCTACATTTATAATCTGACGATATATTGAGGAAAAACTCTTAGATCGAACAAAACACGAGTTTCTCAGACCAAACTTTCCTGCTTATTCATTATTATACAAACCACAAACAGCTGCGAAGTTTCTAGAAATTCAGCTCAAAAATTCTAATTATCCACGTTTTGTGAATTCAACTATTTGTCCTGATGTGTTTCTAAATAATTCCTATTGAAAGTAAAGATAACTTGTCATCATACCAAGATTGAACTATACGGGTGAGAAAAATCATTAACAACCATATAATATCCCATTAGTATACTAGTTAACACTAAGTAGCCGATTTTTATAATACATATTGATTAAACAACTAATAGAAAATATAAAATAATGAATAGCCATTTCATGTTATTAGTGTGAGACACACACCATAGTACTATTCATTCATCTCAATAGTTCAAATGATTTCTTTATAGATCTGGTGTTGATGCTTTCAGAAAAGTACATTATTATGAATGAACACTAAGAGATCATCTCTTAAATCTCCACACATAAAAATGAATAGAAAACATAACATTCAATAGAATATAACTAGTAGTAACCTTAAAAGTTATTGGCTTACAATCAATGTTTTCTTTTTCTTTTTCCTCATAAATATATAAACCTAATTAAACTTGAAATATTTTCATATTTCAAAAAAAAACCGGACAAAAAATTTACATGAATTAAAACAAAAACCAATAATAATCAGATAACATTAACAATTATGTTTTTTGTCATTTATCTATACCTTAACTTAATGATTTGAGAATTACTATACAAGTTTCACACTATTTTATCATCTTCACATATTAAAAAATAAAAGTACAAAGTTTATATTATTGATTTAATTATTTCACATGAATAGTGTATGATTATGATTATTAATAATCAATAAATTCCATGAAAGTAATTAAATCGAAATATTTTTTTTCCATAAAAAAAAGGAAATAGAAATCGGTTGACATTTGCAATATCATTCGGTATTTTAGTAATAATACTAATAATAATAGTAATACTAATAACGATAATAATAATAATAATAATGGCCATAGTAATAACAATCATGTGCATTAATGTCCAATTCTATCCCCTGACAAATGCTTGACAGATATTGATTAGTAACATGAGATTAATGGTAAAGTTTTATATATATATATAGATATATATATAGTTTGTTTAAATGGATAAAAAGAGAGAGAAAAATAGATTAGTGAAATAAACGACATATAAAACGCTTTTAATAGGTTAATGTAAAAATGAACCATTACTAATATTATAGTGATTTCTAGTACGAATCAAATAGAAAGTTGTAATAACTATATAATTAGAAATTATAAAATTATACTATATACATCGAGTTGTTAACTTGTAAGTATTAGTTTGTTTGTTTTTTTAAAGAAAAGAATCCTGCAATAACGTGGATTGATGACATTGTTTAATATAAATTACAAAGACAAATATTATAACCTTAAGCTTTGAATTCATACTGTTGAATATACTTAACTAAGATATTTGAATATAATGATAAACCTGTCTATTCATGAATGACAACAAAGACAAGATCTATGATTTAAAGCTTATTAATGATTGATTTCAAATATTAAACAGATCATTATAATGTATATAACTAGTACTTCATTGATTAAAATGAAACATGTTTTTGAATTGTTTAATGCATTTAAAACAAATTCTACGAACTGATATTTCAAATTTTCTAAGCTATAATATATGTTTCATAGATTGAAATCATGAGTCAATTAAATCTAGACCACGATGGAAAGCCTAGAAGTAATGGACGGCTGTTTCTCCCTATTGTGGGACTCCTCAACAGTGCGCATCCACGATTCCGCACCTCACCAGATTCGAACGCAGGACCTATCAGTCTAGCGCCAAGCGCTTAACCAACTAAACCACTGAGCCGGTACCCAGTGGTGGTAATGTCCAACTTCAACCAATCCACGAAGTTGCGCCATCGTATACCATTGTTTTTAGTGAGCTGATATCTCACAACAGACCTGGTTGAACTCCACTGAGTCCCATACTACGACGATACAGCCGTCCAGTGCTTCCCGGTTTTCCATGGTGGTCTAGCTTTAATTGACTCATAATTTCAATCTATGGAATTTCTAAAATCTCCACAAACCCTTCTGATATAATATATGCATATATATTTCAGCTGTATATAATAAAACATTACATAAATGTCACTTTTAAATAATAAATACATGAAAAATCTTGAAGGATTTTAAACATTTCATAATAGTATTCAAGTAATAAGATGAATAGAATACCATTCACCAAGGGAAAGATTACTGAGTTTTTAAACTTATATTGAGTATGGGAATGTACCTACCATTTATATCCAGTTACTGCTTACTTCTAATGATAATGGTTAATAGTGATCAGAACAATACATGGTATCAAACTAAATTGTTTTCGTTAATTTTAATAACTTTAAGAACTGTAATAGGTATGTTTGAGGACTCCAAGATATTAATCTTCGATAGCGGTGATGACATAGATAAATTCACACTGTACTATGTTTTAACCTGTAATAATTTTAGATTAGATTTATATCATGAATAAATCACTATTGGAACTGAGCAATCTTCACAACCCTATACTGATAATTATAGATTCATTCGTCACAATCGTTTTTGACAAATTATATATATGTGTTTTAGAGACTATGGAATTTCCATAGTTTAAATCATATCCTGATCTTAACCTCCTAAATTTTAAGTGGTAATTTAACTAGTTAAGACCAATTCATGATATAAACTATGAAAACTTTCTGATTTATTATTTTCTCTTCTTTTTAATAGATGTATGCTGTTCAGAAACATACATTAAGGTATTTATTCTATTCAAAATAGATATGACTTATTATCTTTTTATTCATTACAATATTTAGACTTGTATTCAACTAATTACATTGTGAAAAGGTAGACAATAAAAATTCTTTCCAAAGTATTATGTAATTTTTATTCTATCGATTATCGATTATATATATGAATGGAAACCTTGTTCAAGAATTATAAAACATGAACTCTATGGAATAAATTGTAATGTCGGTTCATAACCAATTCTAGACAAAGCATAGACCTCAAGATGAATAACTTATGTCTTATAACTCAAATAGACACACGGTAATTATAATAATTGATTGCAGAATACTATTATTACCAATTCTACGTGTTACATAATACACTACGTATACATATACCTTCACATACAAACACAAACTGCTTGATTTGAATCTGAAAACCGTTAGTAAAACGGAGGTAGCAGTGGATTTAGTTTAGTGGTCGTAATCAATCGATAAATTATAAAACCATGGTGTTACACACACTTCGTCAAGTATGTTTGAATGGTTACATACATAGACAGAAAAGGACAAGAATAATATGGACCAATAAAACCCAAATTTATCAACATTTGCTAAACATTATTTATGATATATATGTAGAGGAAAAGAAAAGATAGATAGAGAAGTAATATCATCGGTATTAAAACGATAATGAGTTCGTAAAAAGCATAGAAGTGCATACAGGCGCGATTGGAGTTGATAATAATAAGGGAAAAACAGGAGTATACCCAAAAATGACAATACTACAGTATTGTCAGCAAACAAACAGATGACCAGCATCTTTATAAAACTTACAGAAAAACACAATTAGGAAACACGTTAGAAGAAAATTCAGGAAAAAGTGGTGACAAATATAATCGGCGAATCCATATATCCGAAGGAAAAATAGAATAAAAATGAAGTATACAACATCTGATTTAGAGGAAAAAAAACTCGTGTTCAAAGTCTAATATGTTTTTTTTTCTAAATAAATAAAAATCATTAGCAACAATGCTAAACAGGACGGAATAATGATGATAATAATAATCTCCCCGAAAGACAACAAATAATGTGTGATTGAATACAATAAATGACAGTTTGAACATAGTGAACATAATTCAAATGATTGATAGCAAGAGATAAAATAATAACCAGATTATTAGAAGGATTATATTTTGCAAAAACCAGAAACAAATTAACAGGCAACAAAACTTCAACAACAACAACAACAACAACACAGAAAAAGGAGAAGACTTCAATGTGTTACTAATCTTATTGGATTATTTACATTATATAAACACTTCACAAGTATATATATTAAAGAGAAAAGGACTAACGCAATAATTTGATAATCACTAGGATGAAGTTTTAAAAACATACTACGATAATAAATAGGAAACAGAAATCCATTTTTATTAACTTCTATTTGATTGTTTATGTCAAATTGATTGTTATACAACTAAATATATTTCTAATGATAAATTATAGAAGAGAGAAGAGAAAACTTACTATTGTTCAATTAATAATTAAAGTTTAAGAAAAAACAACATGTTATCATAATACATTATTTTTCTTTGTGTAGGTTTGTATCCAGACGACATGATAAAAATGATTTGATTCTATTCATTTATTGATTATACTCTGTATGTAGTTGGTGTGATGATGATGACGATGATGAAGAAGGATGCTGTACATTGAAGTAGATACATTAGACACGTCGCTTGATGCATGTCATATGTATGTGAAGAATATAGATATGTGAAAAAAGGGAGGAAAAGAACCAATCATCACAGAGCCTCTTTTATTCCAACAAAATGAATTATTGCATTTTGATTGTAAATAGCTGATGAGATATATAAGAAAACAAGAAAAAAAGATGGTTAACAAAACAATAAAGATATGGTAAGGATAGTGAAAATCTATGATATAATTTATGACTGAGTAAAAAACACATCTATTCTGATGACAGCATAATTCACATTCTTTGCGTCAGATCAGGTTTATATGATGTGATAATAATAAAGTAGTTGAGTTGAAAACATACGTAAAAATGGTTTATTTCATATGAAAACGAATATTTAGTATAGTTGGATAACGGTCCAGAATAGGACACGCGTTTCGCCCTATTTGGTACTCGACAGATATATGTACCTGCACCCATGTTGATATTCATAGAAGGACTCACAACCCAGTACCTTTGACTTCGAATACACAATGAGTTAACTAATTGGCTACTTGACCTAGATAGCCACTGCCTTGTGTAATAAAATGTACATATCTCAGAAGAGACTGACCAATTTTAGTTCATAACATCAACAGAAAGATTCGAACAAGCAATACAAATGAATTAAATGAATAACAGTTTATAAGATGAAATATAAGTTTGACTACAGTCGGATGTTATTAAATTTTTTTGTAGTTTTACACCAAGAGCTGATCGTAGCCACAGAACGATTAAAAGATATGAAGCACTAGCTAGTTGTTTCAATCTAGGATCGAACTCTTTAAAAGTCCTCACCCACGACAACTATCTTTCATTTGTTTTGAAGAATTTAAGCCAGATAAAACCATTTTATTGAGACTGAATACATTAATAAAAACCATAAGTCAGAGTCAGACTAACCAATTATTAGCTTTCCGATGAGTAAAATCTTAGTAAATATTGAAATAGGATATGAATAATTTTTCGGGGAAAACTATGACTTAAAGAGACGTCCACCATACTTACTTTGGACTAACCAGGTTTTGCGAACAAAGCAGAACTGCACCTACTGGGGCAGAATCATGAATGGAAGTTTTGTAAAACTACATTGAATTTCGATGGTTTAGAGTGCATGTCATACAGATTAGATGCGACGCAGATTATCCATATGTTGTCAAAAGGAATGATATTTACGTAAGGTAGGTTGAGAATTTTTTCTCTCGAGAAGTATATCCACACTACGATCGTAAACTTTGAAAATACTTCTAGAATGCTAGGGAGGGCGCGACTAAAGAGGAATAGCAAGACTAAGCAACACTGCCTCAGCCTACTCCTGAGCCAGGACGATGTAAAGGCGTAGTATGTTCTTAATTACACCAAAGTTTTTTCATACCTGTTAGGCATACGTTTCTTCAACAGACAATTTCAAAGCTCAAATCTATACAAGGCATAGAGAATACAAGAACAACGTAGCGAAAAACATGATAGAAAAACGACCTGCTTTAAAAGTAACAGCCTCTAACAAGTTTTGCACAATCCGAGGAGTAGAAAAAATTATTTTCAAGCAACAGAGAGCAGCTTTATGCCTGAATAACTATCTCTACTGAATAAAACATTATTTTTGCTATCTTGAAAATATTTCTCGGCATATAAAACATGTTATCAAAAGAGAGTAATAAAGCTCGAATAATCGAGCACAACAATGAATTGTCACTTTTCAATATAATAAGATGAAAAAATCAACATAAACCAAAGTCAGTGATTTAGATCAGATTGAAGAATACTATACGTAGATAGTTGAATTTCAAACATCGTAAGACAGATGAGAATACAATTACTTATTTGCAGAATGGACAAATACTAGAGACAAGATCGAGATAAAATAATAGCATTATGAGCAATAAGACATTGAAGAAGTATAGAAAGAAATTTAACCCTTATCTGATGATCATAGCTGAAGTTACCCAACAGAGCATTACCTTGTTATCGGATAAGTTGGACTTTTTAATTAATCAGCCATAAGCAATGTAGAGGCTAGCATATGTGTATCGGTTCAATTTGCCACATCATATCAGTACAGCGAAATTATCAAGGAAAATTCAAAAACAGTAGAGGTAGTAACATTATCGATAGTAGCAGAAAAGATTAGGTGCACAAAAAGAAAAAGTGATTCCAGGACCCCAGATTCCAAGGGAAAACGAAGAATGAGTGCGCTTGGATTACGGTGAACGATTTTAAGCCACGCTATTCAGACTCTACCCTTCAGTTACGATAATTGAGCAGATCCCAACCAGGCAGTGTACACCTATCTACACGGCTCAATGCAATCACAAATAACTTCAAGGACGGGTGCTATGTCCTGGTTTGGCTACCTTTAGCTTTCTTCCGGTCTACTCCGAAAACAGACAACATTGCCTGTCGAGGTGTGTGATGGTGGATTATATGAAGTACATATCCCGACTACCTCAATCGGTGAAGACGAAATACATCATCAACGAAATCACCATACTTACCTACTACCCTATGCTTAAGTTTACTATTACTAAATCAGTGGTCCCAACATACAGAACCAATGATTTGAAGGCATCTGTGATCAGACAATAGTAATCTATGAATATACTTTAATCTTAAACTTTATATTTAACAGCCTAAAGATACACTACGACGAATTGCAATCTGATAGGAAGACGCTGAAATTAGTCGGCATTTTTAACTCCCAGGTTGTCCATATATTGTATGGACAATTATTGAGATACCTAAAAAGGAAATTGGATTATTAGTGGTCCTGTTGGTCAGAGAACGGGACAACAGAACCAAAGGGATAACTCCGTGATACCAGTCAAATACAATCTTCTGTGAGAAATTCTCGATATATTAGCTCCGAATTATGAAAGGCTTTACCACCGGCAACGAAAATCCATGTGAAAAGCTGTGTGGTATTTTTAGAGTTAGGTTTTAATACTTCCCCCCTTTTTTAAGCTAGAGATTAATAGTTGTCCATAGTTATGATACAGTGTACAAACCCGAAATTCTGACTGACAATCGTGATACTTGAATCTTAAGCATGAATTATTTCTATGTGAAATATATGTAAATAAACAGTGTCGACATTTTAGTCTAATAAAAATCTACTCATTATATATTTTAATTTCGAATTATTGAACGGTCCATTCTTTAGTTTCTAACAAAAACTGCAACTGAAAACAATTCAGCCATGGTAAATCATAAGATGTATAAATGTAAAATACTGTTTTCAATAAATTCTTATCAGATTCCACAGTTATACATTAAAATTAATGATCCAAAAAAGTATAGTTAAATTTAAAGTAAATAAATTGTTTAAAATTATATAATATGAAATAATAGGTGTGCTGGTGTTAACATGAATTGTATTATGTAGTTACTAATTAAAGGATACAAGTGCACACAATTTTCCCATTTTCGTATTATCATTATTATTAATCTTTTAAACATGTGAATAGTTTGGTTATTATACAACTTTAATATCATATTACTTTGTTACTAAATTTATATCATTTCATATATTAGGTAGTCTTCAATGAAATATTTGATTGAATTCAGACATTAACACCGTTGGATGCCAGCTCAGTGGTCTCATTAGTTAAGTGCCTGACGCAAGACTGATAGATCCTAGGTTCGAATTCCGCGAAGCGGGGTCGTGGGTGCGCACTGCTGAAAAGTCACACAATAGGACGAAACGGCCGTCCAGTGCTTCCAGGTTTTCCATCGCGGTCTAGCTTCAATTGACTCATGATCGCAACTGTTGAACTTACTACAATCTCCACAAAACCCCTTCTGATACATAATTATTATTACTCTCATTCTAATATTATTAATAATTATTTATCCTTAATTATTATTTGCACAGATTTCACTCAAACTGATATTTAACACTGATTAGATTAATACTAATGATAATATTTTAAACAATGTATTTGACTAGATCATTCCCTCTTTTTTTCAAAAGAAAAAAGTATGTTAAATTGGATTTAAAACTATAGAAACAGATAAGAATTTATTGCAAAGAATATTCTTCATTCATATATTTATTTTATAAACATGGGAGATTCATTTATACATAAAACTGATTCTACTGTGATTTCATATTATGTTGACTGCATATATCTAGTTCTTGATTATTAGTCAAACTTCGAATATCTGAGTATATTTGATCTACAATAGTTTAGTTCTAATGATCCTCATTGTCTTGTATTCAGGTGATCGGTATAGACTTGTATTAAATGTCATGATGGGAGATGGATGACTAGACTTCATTTATGCAGTGAAAAAGTCTTTAATTTACATTATTTTTTTTAAAATTACTATACAATTAACTCAATACATGCTATATTTAAAGATATTACGATATCACCAAAACCGGCAAAGGGAACGAAAGTCGACAATACAACAATAGGACAAGCTAAGCTAATCTATTGCGCTACAGTCTTGCTAACTAGATGGAGTAGACAAGATTCAACCGGGAAAAATACATACCCCATATGCACACAACTCATGCGTGTATATACAGTACCAAAAAATGTCACAAAATAGGGTACTGAAAGAGGAAGCAAAATGTAATTTGTATGAAAATGCAAGAACAATGAAGTCTGAGTCATTTTGAGACAATCGATGGACATTTTGCTAATTAAGCATTTACTTTATGATTGTTAGATTTTATTAACAAGTCCTGTAATTTTGTTTTGAATACATTCGATTGTCCCCACTGGTGTTCTTGTTCACTACAGTGTTGATGTCTAATGTTAATTAATACATGGCAATCTCCATAACTCCATACGGGGAATTATCACGACAAATTAGTGAGGAGGTGTCCGGAGTTCTAGTGAGAAGCCGTGAAACAATTAACCACTGAAGATAATTAAAAGTGATCGTGTAATATCGTAGATTAACTGAAGTTAAACAGTAACATCGTTGAATAACCACTCAGCGGTCTAGAGGCTAAATGTTTGCGCGTGAGACAAAAAATCCTAGGTTCGTGTCTCACGTGAGGCATCATGGATGAGCGCTGCTGAAAAGTCCCATACTGGAATGAAATGACTGTTCAGTGCTGACCTAACTTACATCAATGAAGTACTAATTGTTGCTGATTCCTTTTCAGTTTAAAAAAGAATGTGTTTTTATATTCATAGTATATGTAGACATTACACACAAATAATAAGAATATGTTAGCATAAAACGTTTTTTGATATGCAACTAAAAAGTACCAGAATAGAAATGAATATTTGCTTTCGAACAAGAAAATAAAAAACACCCATTCAAAATAATTAACAAAACGTAAATGATATTATTTCCGCCTTAGATCTACTAAGTTTAATTATCGCTAGTTTGGTTATTAGAAAATAACTGATGTCATCTTCTACAGAAGAATCGAATTATAAATAATTATTTATGCTTAGGTTACGATACATCCAGCTTCACAATGGAATGGACACACAAAAATAGGACTGAATTCTGAAATATTAATGTTGCAAAGAAATTGAATAAAAGTTAAGATTCGCAGTTAGATAAGAAGTTAGCAAGAATGTAAAATCTACTGTTCGCTTTTGTAACAGATGATAAAAAATAATATATTTCTAAAGCGGAACAAACCAATATGAACGGTTGACATTTACCTTTAAATTATTGATAGTAAATTATGATTTGCAGAAACATACGAGGAATTATTCACAAGAAAATCTTGGATTACTACATACTCATATGAATTTTCAACATTGATACACTGAGTCCATTGCATATAGAACAAATAATATATGAAAGATGCTGATGATGGAACCCTGATGCTCAAGATTTGGTCTCACTTTATAAGGAGATAAAAACATGGCATAAGTTGAAAATGTGGCTTCACATTCTGAGGAACATGTCTATATTTATAAATGAGTTGTAAATATATTCGAGAATCGGTTTGCCTAATAAAATTATTTTGTTTGCTGTTGGTTTCCTTACTCAAGTAGATGGTTGAGATTGAGTTATTATGAGCAACTGTAGTCGTACTGTGGTGAATGCTATTTATGTTGGTAGATATAAGTAGTAAGTAGCACCAATCGGAAGTGGAATGCCTGGTAGCGGAAGGTTGTAATGAAGAGAATATAAGTAGCGTAGACCACAGTACAATGAATTCTGGACACTGAATACATACAACGAAACTAATTACTCCATAATCTTAATATTATACAATAAGTTCTCACAACAACAAAGATTTTAATAAAAATTACTTACAATAGTTACATCAAAAGTAAATTTCTCTCCCATATAAAATAAAGTATAATACACAAATTTGAAGGAAAAACTGTTTATAGAATCCTGTAGTGTTCGTTTTACAAATACGAATTAACGGTAAAACCGATCGTTTTAAAGAAACATACAAAATAAAAAGTGAAATAACTGATGAACAAACTAATAGTTACAAGAAACATTTTTAAGAATGTATTCACTAAAAAAGTGTAAATAAGATTGTTAATTTCAAACTTGGTTGTTTTCTATACCCTATTTCTCTACTATAGCCAAAAAAAGGTGATAATAGTTTGTTTTTACATACGTTAATGATATGAATCTGTTCATTTACCACTAGGTTCATTCAAACATACAAAATACCACGCTATATATAAGTCTAAATATTGATCAAAACAGTAAAATTGATTTCTCACTGAATAGTGACTGATGCCATATTTGTGCAGTACTTTTGATATTGATAAAGTTGCGATATACTCAGTAATCAAAGTGACTCGTTACTGCCTGCAATATGCTGAGATGTTAGGTGGTTGAGGACAGATTACAAGAAACCATGAATTCTAAGTTTCGTGCTAGTTGGTACTCCTTAGCAACGTATACTAGTAATCTTGAAATAACCAGTGCTTCCTGGCGCGGTGATCAATCATTTGGACTAGTGACCACATTGAAACTTGATCGGTAGAATTCGACCAACGCTAATGGAACAGACAAATATAACATCGGCCACTACTTGGTGATCAACTATTTGTAAGTAGGTCAGTCCTACAGCAAGTTAGTCGCGGTCCGAATAGTTTAGTAGTGATGTCTCAGACAGTGAGGCTGGATAACACAGAATTGAATCTGTCAGGAAACACCAGTTGTTTCAAGATTGTAGGAATATATTGCTAACGAATGCTGAGTAGATAAAAAAACTCCATCCACATAACAAAAAATTGCTTTAAACATACATTACACCAATGCCCAAAATCTAGTATTGTCAAACATACCTCTTAAAATAATTGAACAGTTAAGTCTTTATAATTATAAATATGAAAGAACTGATTAGTTGTAATTTTTTTTAATGTCAATGCAAGTTGCGGTTTTATTTTTTTAGTTTATTTATTGTGATAAGGATTATTATTCGAATTAAAAAATTGCGACTAATTTAGTAGTAACGTATGTTACTAACGTTTGTCTACATAGTTGGATAAGCTAACTCTCTATGTCTATGAGATTTATGTCGGAGTCAAACAGTACAACAGATACCTACATAATAAAGATTATGATAAACTTTGAAAAGTACGATATCTAGAAACGTATATATAATTAAAATCAGAGTTTACTGTAGGTTCACTGTAAACATGTTGATTGACGGTATGTGTCTGACAGTGTTTGGTACAGCTTCAGAAGTTTTACAACGATTACTGGCAGAATTAAGTTGATAAGCTTCTACAACGATATTCATTATCATTTTTTTTACTGTCGAAGTGATGAATTCAAAGACCACTCAATGATTCTGTCTTCCTTTTACTTTTAAATAAAAAAACAGATACATGTAATTTCCCATTAAAAAAATTAACTCATTTTTAGGATGTGGGATGTTTTCTTTGTACATTTTGGCACAGATCATTGTTTTACAGAAGAAGAAATACGAAATTCGTATGAGTTTCAGCGCATGCAATAATTTATATGTGTAAACATTCTAAAAGTTACAAAAGTGGGGATGAAGCGAAAAACAAAACACACTATGATACTGTTAACCCTTAATTCATATATCAAAACTGTTTTATTCAAGAACAACCAGTAATAGAATAGACTGGTATAAAAAAACAGGTTGACTTACAGTTGTCTAGGCACTTTGAGAAAAAAAAACATTTTCTGGATTACCTATAATTTAGAGGACATACAAGAAAGAAAAATTATAAACCACTTATAAAATAATGACACATAGATTAGTAGCTATATGGGGATTGTTCAATCAACCATTGTACTTCCAAACTGTCTATTTTTTGTCAAATTTACTTTACCAAAAAGATTCAATAATCAAGCTTGAAAAATCATTTATGTTCATTTATCTATTTTTGTCAATCACTTTAATCTTGAACAGTTATTTCAAAAAAATATTCAGATTAAAGTGACTCGGACTATATGTGAGTTTGATTAAATCAAATTAAATCTGTTTGTCAGGCTCTATATTCATAAATAATAATGAATATGACTATGCGATCACATACAGTAGTGACTTGTTATTCATTACATGCACCATTGATGTACATGCCTACCTATTTATTTATGTAATGGAAGCTGACAGAAACATTAATTTATAAAAATGCTAGAATTTAGGTTAAACGTTCGCGCACGAGACTGAAGGCTCTGGATTCGAATCCTGCGAGCGGGATCGTGGAAGTGCACTGCTGAGGAGTCCCACAATAGGACGAAAGGCCATCCACTGCTTCCAGGTTTTCAATGGTGGTCTAACATCAATCGGCTCACGATCTCAATAAAAAGAAACTTAGCAATCCGCACAACTCCTAAACTGATAATGTAGGTTTTATTTAATTTTAAAGCCATTTCACAAGTAATTATATTCTTAATTTGAGTAAAACCTATTGAATAATGTGATAAGGAAGGGTTTAGTTAAAAAAGTTTATATACTACTTTTTTATAAATTATAAGCTCCGTGCATAATGATAATCATCGATATATAACAAAGTTTCTGCATATATCTGTTTGCTTTTTCGTTATTCACATAAAAAATGACATTGGTTTTGGTAAGAAGCATTATTAACCATCTTTCCAAAAAAGACATAGAAACGAGGCAAAATAATTCACGTTGTAAAGAAAAGAACGTATTGTAGAATAAAGATGGCTGACAAAAAAAAGTAAACACTGTATTATTATTATTATTATTATTGTGGCGTCTGCTACTGTCGACAGATATAAGTAGTATGTGTCACTAATTGAAATTGGGATGCCTGGCGGCAGAAGGTTGAGAAAATAGAAGATGAGAGAATGAAAATAGAATGATTGGTATGGAAACGAAGGAATAACAAAGTCTGAGACAACTGATAGATATTTTGCAAATGAAATATTTACTGTATGAATTTTAGCAAGATATTCTGTTATGTTGTATTGAAATACATTCAGTTGACCCTCACTTGTGTTCTCGTTCACTACAGTATGATTATTGAATTCAAATTTGAACCGATGGAAAACACAATAGTGGAATAGATGTAGTTGTAAAGAGAAACACCAAACCTCAGTAACAGAACAAACATTTCTCACAGGTACTTCAAAATAACTAAACAATACAGTGAAAGACAATCAATTGTTTAATGAAACAAATGAAAGTAAAAAAGAGAGAGTTTTGATATCAAGAAATAATCTTTGTATTATCATACAATGATTTATATAATTAAACTGAACTGCAAAGTTACCAAGTTAATATGATTAAGAACAGATTAAAGAATGATTCATAGTACAAACTATTAAGAAGCTCATCGAAAAGAATAATTAAAAAAACAGTTATTAATAGCTTTTTAAATCCGTGTTGATATAAAGTACAAATATTGTATACAATGCGATACAATTATATATATATATATACTGACTGTAACAGACAGAAATATAGGAAACTGTTTTGAACCTACTTTGAGCGTAATAGAAATCCTAGTTAACAAATAACAAATGTTTAAACCGTAATCCTTCAGACGGTTATTGATATTTTGTCAGTATTTTATTGCTACGAAAGCCTAAAGAAACTATTGTCAGGTTTGAATTATAATCAGTCATTAAATTTTTCTAACTAAAAATTATGATCTTAACGTAGTAAGAACTAAACTATAGAGTCGAAATAATGAATTAACGCATACTCAAGATTGAACATATAAATTAGGTGAGAAAATGATCCGAGTATAAATTTAACAACTATCAGAGTGATTAATACAGTGAAGCCCAGTGACGTAAATACACGTTCTTGTATTCGACTTTAAACAAAATTTTGCTTGCGCGATCATGAATTCAAAGAGCTCCTGTTTCTGTGTACCAATTTGCTCCTACTACAAATCGCCTACGTGAAAATGAATATCCGGCGAAGTTCATCCAGAAATATGCTGAAACCAACCCTCGGGTTAAAGGAGATGAATCACTGGAATAGTTAATCACAGGATAAATTCCGGGATGAATGTGACCTACTCAGCAGCACAACTGACGACGCTATGAGAAATGAATTGCTCACTCAAATAAACTAAAACTGACAGGTTCTCCTTTCTCAGTAGCATTTACCAGTTTACATGTATGTACCAAACCACATACATTGGAAGAACCGAGAGAAGAGTACATGTTCTCATTTACGAGCATTTTCCAAGGAAATTGAGACTACGAGGGACAATGGTTCCTAACACTACAATAAAGCTCGGTATTTACTTAACACCGAGCATACGATTGACATCCTTCAAGCTTTCAAAATTATTAACAGACAGAGAAATACTGCTTCTCTTCGGTTTGATGAAGCGATTGTGATAAAAATACTCAAACCCGACCTGTGTATTGAAAAATAGACAGTAATAAACCTATTACTACCTTGGTAATCCAAATTTTTGGTCATTAGTTTTATTTTGTTAATGTTTAGTTCATTATATTTCTCTTCCATTACCAAATTCTTATTTTATGTACATTTAAACCACATCTTCACTCATACATTTCCACTCACTCTATTCTTTGTTCAATTATTACGTAACCCATCTTACAAGATTTTTTTAATTTCATGAATCTTATGTAAATCCTTCATTACCACTAAAATTATCACATAATTTACCTTATCTGTCACTGAACTTCACTCAGTTATTACGTCACCCATCCCTAATGTTTTCTTGATTCTAACACCAAATAACCTCTAACTTGTTCTTCCACACATACATTATAGTCATTATCGATAACCTTTGTCATTCCAATTCTTTACATTCACATATGTCAATTGTTCTACACTGTATCTTACCTCAATTTAAAATTTTAATTCATATTTGGTTGTAAGCAGCTGGTGAGAAACCACTAAATACAATGAATTCAGATTACTCTGTACCCGTGTTCGTTCTGCTTTATTTTAATTCCAAGAGTAAACTATTCCCTTTTCAACCTGATTGTTGTAGGAATATGGCTAGAGATATTTATTTTTTTGAAGCTGAATAGGTATTTTTTGAATCATTTTTATAGTAGATAGTTACATGGAAAACTCATTGTCTAAAAAGTACTTTTTACACACTTCCTAAAAACTTAGTGAGATGCTGTTTGAAGATAAAAGTAAGTCATTATTTAAAAATAATCTATTTTAACACTACTACGTCACCTGCTTTCTTATTGTTCAGTGAATTATTAATCTTGTCCCAAGACAAACAATGGGTGACAAACTGTGGGGACTATTGTTTTGATGTGGGTGAGGGTTGTAAGTATGCTTAGTATTTAATATGTAATTATTAAAACTTAATTCACATGATCTCGATATTTTCCTAAATACAAGCTCTTAACTGACTAACTAACTATTGTTACATCATTTTCTGTTCTCAAATTGTAAATTAATTATAAGCTCTGGTTCAGTTATGTACAACAAATGCCACATTCTTGGCACAAATTGTATTTTATTAATTATGATACCTTGGGGTTTGATCATTTGTCTATTTAATCATAGAAATTTCTGAATCAGTGAAAGATAGAGAGTATTACAGCTTTTATTGAATATTCCCCTACACATTAGACCATCGAAAGGTTGTTATGTGCAGCCAATAAGCGTTTGCATACCAGGCCACAAGTCAATACATTAAGATAGCTGCTTGAAAGGTAGGAGTAGTCATAGCGGAACTCACAAATAGCTATACTCAGGACAGAAAAAATGACGAAATAAATCCATAGTATGTCTAAAGTCATTAAGAGTGTGCAATCAATTTCACCACAATTAGTCATTGATTTACAGTTTGCATAATAAGAGATAAGATTCTGTCGTGCTTTACTGTTATTTTCACATTGTGATAGCCCTCCTCCCCAAATGTTTTACATACCAATCTTAGGCGTTTTGGGCTTTCTATATTTAGAAAGGTAATTTTCACTCATTTTTTCTTAATCTCGCACACAAAGATAAAGGCCATTTATTTGATTATGACTAGATCTAGACATCATGTATAGTTACATTGATTTAATTATAATCGACTTAAATTCTTAAATCCATATGTGACAGTCAATTATCTCAACTAAGAAACCATAAGTAAAACAACATAGTACTAATTCTATAAAAGCGTCAATAAATTCATGAGGGTAATTATCTTATTAAAAACAACGATTAATAAGAAGTGTTGTAATTACATTCTAATAATAGGTTACAGTGAAAAATTGAGTTGATTAATAATAAAAATGAGACTAGTCATATATCAATTCCAAATGAATGTAGTTCATGAATATTTACAAACATACTGCTAATTTAAAACAGAAAAAAATTAACAAAAAAATTACCGAAGAGGAAATAACACACACTTGTGGCATAGGAGATAGTTATTCGTTTCTAGAATTGATAGGTGAATTGTCATTCACTAAAAATGAGGCATTACATAACAATCTCATGAAACAGAGTAGTATTAAATGCTATCTACAATGTAACTAATAAGTTGAAATAGGATATGCTTGTGCAGAATTAAATTTTACGCATGTTTGTATTTGTTTGAAATTATATTGCTACTTAGATAATATTTGATTAACCGTTACTGTGAAAATTAATGCAACAGCTGTTGTAAGATCTAATATGATTAAGAAATGAATTTGAAAGGACTGTTGTGATTAAAAATCTTCCCAGATTACTTAGACCTTAAGTAAAAAATAATCAACAAAAAATCTATATAGAAATG